TATTAGCCTTTGCCCTGCTTCATTTTGAACTCCAAGGCCAAACTTACCTGTTGTTCCTTTTATCTCATGACTCCCTACTTTAGCATTCCAGTCCCCTATAATGACAAGAACATCTTTCTGTGGTGTCAGTTCTAGAAGCTGTTGTAAATCTTCATAGAATTGGTCAAGTTCAGCCTCTTCAGCATCGGTGGTTGGTGCATAAACTTGGATTACTGTGATGTTGAAAGGTCGTATTGATTCATATTTCCATCCATTTTAGTTCACTGATGCCCAGGATGTCAATGTTGATTCTTGCCATCTCCTGTTTGACCACATCCAGCTTACCAAGGTTCATAAATCTTACGCATCAGACTTTCCTTTCACTTCCAGGCACGACTACAGCTGAGCATCCTTTCGGCTTTGGCCCAACCACTTCATTAGCTCTGGAGCTACTTGTACTTGTCCTCTGCTTTTCCTCAGTAACATGTTGGACGCCTTCCGACCTGAGGGTCCCATCTTCCAGCATCATATCTTTTAGCCTTTTGTTTCTGTTCATGGAGTTTTATTGGCAAAGATACTGGAGTGGCTTGCCAGTTCCTCCTCCAGGTGGATTGCATTTAGTCAGAACTCTCCACTATGACCTGTCCATCTTGGGTGTCCATGCATGGCATAGCCCATAGCTTCTTTGAATTACTCGAGCCCCTTTGCCACGACAAGGCAGCAATCCGTGAAGGTGTGAATAATCCTACTAAGGTTTATTTTCAGGTTAGGTCTTATTTTTGGGCAAACAGGGTAGAAGTAACATGAATGAATCTGAAATATATGCTGATTTATAATTTCATTTACTAATCTTATTTGGTGTGTAGTCTCAAGTTACTTTCAGTTTATATTAATCCTTTGAATTAATTATTTCCAAAAAAAGTTCTGATATCAGCAACCTTGCTTGGATCTTGCAAACAAAAGGTTTAACTGACTCAATCCATCCCACATTCAGTCTCCCTTATTTTCTAGCATTTTGTCTTTTCCAGTACAGTGGGGTCTTGACTTAAGAACGGCTCGAGTTAAGAACATTTTGACTTAAGAACCACTCTCATAGGAAAATATTGACTTGACTTACATACCGTACTTAGATTTGAGTTAAGAACTGAAAAAAAACCATGTGGGAGGCAGGGAAAGTGCAAAATTTGAACTTTCAGTTAACTGTTGGCCAGTGAAAAGGGTGCCTGTCTGCTTCCTCACTCCTCCCAGCGTTTAGAGAGTGGATTGGGAGACAGTCTTC